ACACACACACACACACACACACTGAGCACCTGTGCTGTCCGAGTCAGCTGATCTCACAGATCAACAACAGTTTCACTCAGCTGCACTGAGCATGCTCAGTACTACGAGCATCAGTAATTGTACTACAAGTAATAGTTTGACTACTATGCAGTAGCATCAGTGGTGTATCAGTACTCTGATGGCGGTGTGTGTCGGCGGCCTCGGCGTGACTGACAGCCACTGACGTCTCCTCCCGTGTGAGAGCAGTAATCACAGTTTAGGACGCCTTCATGTTAAAATATCTCCGTTTACCTCTGAAGTGGAGATTGAAACCTCACTCAGACGCTCGCCGCCGTTTCAAAGCGGTGATTTGGGTAAATGACTATAATTAATCCTCCGCCGCCGCGGTTTGAGGCCCCGCGGGGCCGGGCGTGCCGTTTGATTGACAGCTCTATTTTTAAGCCTTCCTGCTGACAACAGGACGTGGAGCGGGAGGGGACGGGGACGTTTGATGGATGATGGACAGTTTGTCCTCATTTCCTCTTCCTCCTGCCATCAAGTCCTGAGCGCGGCGCCCGTCCCCACCTGACGGCACTGATTGGAGGAAAGTTTCTCCTTGAGAATCTGGACCAGGTCCTGGAGCTGAGCGGAAGTTACTGAAACCATGACGGCAGAGCCACGAGGATGCTGCGAGCGGTGGAGGCGGTCTGCTGTGGCCGACCCCGAAGGAAAGAATCAAATCTCTGAGTAGTGTTGGTGGAGGAGGCCGGAGCTGCGGTGTGAGGTGGAGGCTCAACCACACCTGCTGAAATAGTTTAAGGACATAAATGTTTATAATAACATCCAAAGTATGTCAGTGTTTTTTACACGCAGGGAGTCTCCCTTATTACTAGCGTGTGTATCCGGAACGAGATGACGCTACTGCGCATGTCCACGCAATCAGCTGCTGAGCGGAGAAGGCGGGGTTTGTGACGTAGCAGGAAGCGTTAATCACGCGTGTGTGTGCGTGTGGAGAGTTTCACAGTGAGTACTTATTTGTCTCGTTTTCCTCTTTTTAATTTATTTTTTCTTTTAATCTGAAAGGTCTTCGCAGACCGGAAGCTTCTGTTAGCATCAGGTCAACGGTAGCAGCCGCGCGGGGCGACACGGACACGTGTGTGCGCGCTCTCGTGTCGAACTTTAAACACGCCGCTCTGTGGTGGGTTCAGCTCCTCGTGGGCCTGACTCACAGCTGACTGAAGGTAAACTGCTGCGCAGCTGGACCAATGAGAGAAGCGCTTCTTCAAACTGTTTGTGAGTGGAGTTTGGTGTGAGAGTGACTCTCTGTGTTTACCTGTAGTTTGTGGACACACGCACACCTCTGATGATGTCATCATCCGATGAACAGTTGTGTCGGAACAGCTCCAGCGACATGACGTCATCACCGCCATCCCGCAAACGGAAACGTCAGAAGGCTCAGCAGCCATGGGTGAGCTCTCTCTCTGTCGCTCAGTGCGTTCATTTGATGTTTCTGTGACTTCGAGGTGCCGCAGAGAAGAGGAGGAGCTTCTTCATACTGCAGGTGGCAGCAAAGGAGGAGGAGCCTGCAGGTGCAGATCCACGTTTCCTGTGTTAGCTCAGACAGCCCTTCAGCTTTCAGCCTGTTCCTCTTCTTCTGTATGAAAAGCACCCGCAGAGCTCCGCCCACTGTTATCAGAGGAACAGCTGATTCATGTGGGAAACGTTGTCTCACTGAGAGGCAGCAACACAATCACAATGTGGATTTGAAACACAAACTCTGAACCAGGTGATGTGCTCAGAAGCCGTTACCATGGTGATCTAACAGGTAAAACGGAAGCTGCCTTCATGTCATCATAGCTTGCTAACCTGCTAGCCTCACTTCTTAGTTACAGCTTTCGCTCATGGCAACTGCAGAGCCACAGAAAATAGGCTGCAGTTCCCTTCGTGACCACAGGGGTCGCCATATGAACTGTCTTTTTTTTTTTTTTAGGCTCCACCCAGTGACGGGACAGACGGGACCCCAAAGAAGAAGAAGAAGGATGGAGCAAAGGAAACGGGACGTGGCGGCATCAAGACCTCCTCACTGTTCAAACATAACCCTGACATCCCAGACATCCACAGGTGCAGCTCCGCCTCCGATTGGCTCATTGAACCAGCTTCTCGGCTGG